CTTGAGCGCCCCTCCCACCCGCCCCCAGCCTGTATGTCTTGGCCAACTGGCTGCTGTGCAGGGGACTGACACCCCGAAGTGCAGCTCAGCAGATAATTAAGGTATTTCTTGGCTGTTTGTCCCCCCCCACCACGTCTTTGGTGCCGCAGTTCATGCCCAGTTGTAGCTCATCACCCCAGCACCTTCTCTACAGGAGCTGGGACCGCCGCAAGCCCAGCTCCCCTGGACACAGTTATTCAACGTGCGTTTCGGCGCGTCGGAGCACGGCGTGACCCGGATCGGGTCGGACACGGCGAGGAGCCCGCGGCGGCGCGGGGAAATGATGCGACGGGGGATTCGGCATCGGTGTCACGAGTGAGTCAAGTTGCTGTGATGCATTACGGAAAAGCAGCTCCAGAGGTGGCTGTTTCCCAACGATCCAGGGCTGATTTCTGTGGCTCCTTTGTAATTTTCACTTTAAAGTACGTTGAGATTTAATAGCGAGAGGCGATGACTCCTCTCCGGAGTAATCTGAATTAACGTTGCATTTAGCATGGGAATATAGACACGTGCATGAGCAGCAATGGGGCTGTGTAACCCATCTGTTGGGGAAACTGAGGCACAGGGGGGTGGTACCGATCAACTGATGATGCTTTAGGGATAATTTGGACCTTGATGTCCCTTTTGGCCCTTCCTGGGGGCTTTGGTCCCACACGTGGCCGCGCTGGGAGACATTTAAAGCATCTGAAGCCACCAAGAGAGCGGGAAAACGCAGGTGGCAGCGGCTCTGATGGGGACATGCTGGGGAGGCAACAGGTCTGGCTTGGGTTGGGAAAAGAAATTGCCATGGAGCCAGGTTTGGGAGAGAGATGTGGAGGAGGGTGAGGGTAAGAAACACGGCTTCAGAGCCAGGGAGACAGTTTTGTTTGAAAATTTATTGAAAAATGCAATACAAGAAGCAATACTGAACACTTAGGTCTCTCTAAATGCTACAGCAACTTTCCCTTTGATTTACTATGAAAGTCCAAAATAACAGCTCCCATCACTAGTCAATCTATAAAGGTTTGCCCGTTTTAAAAGTTCCTATTTTTATAAAGAAGAGTGTAAACGGCTAGCCTAGACAATTCACAATTGCCTTAAAAAAATTTTACAAAGCTCCTTCATACTCTCAACTAAATTATTTTATTTTTTTATTTTTTTTTTATTTTTTAAAAGTTTCATCTCTAAGGCTGGGACACTACCACCTCTTAAAAGGTAATTGTACAACTAGGAAAATCAGCAAACCACAGTTTATTTAAAACCAGGAATCAGCCAGTCCTTTGCTAACACATCTGTGTTGGTCAGAGATTGCTATTTGGCAACCGGAGCTGCCGTTCCAGTTTAATGGAGGAGAACATGAGCTCCTCGCCTTCCTTTCTATAAAAACATTCATTCATATATAAATAGCTTCCATATAATGTATATTATACAATCAAGACAGTCTCTGGGTGAATTGGTGGAGTGGGAAGAGCTGGGAACATTCATATAAATAGACCTTACTTAGCTGGTTTGTCCCTAGAAATAACAGAGCACGCGAAGAGCCGAGGATTTTAAAAACCCGTCGGAGGTGGAAGGGGTGCGGGCAGCCCCGCCACGGCCCCTGCTGAGGATGGAAGAAGCTTCTTCTGCTCTTAACTTTGATCTTCTTCCCAGGCTGCCGCTGCTGCTGTCCAGCTCCCCGGCTGCG